CACCCGCCAAAAAAAAGAATATTCTTTTTTATATTCTTCCTCTCTCTTCTATATTATATTATTATCTTTCATTTCGATTTTATTTTTGATCCATTAAACAAATTTCAATCTTTTGTTTTAATTAATTTTGTAATTTCTATTAAAACAATTCCATAAAATTTTTAAATAATATAAATTGTAAGCAATTATTTATAATTAACTAATAATTCAAAATAAAAGCGAAATCATTGCAATACAAGATTAATAAATAAATATTACATAACGATAAAATTCATTCGAAATACTACATAAATATTCAACTTCAACCTCTAGTATTCTCCCTATAAATGATCTATTAATGCAATACGAAGAGCAAAAATGAGCATTTTTGTCCTATTCTTCTATGTCGAGCTAAAATCTTTGAAATCGTTGATTTTCATGTACTTGCCATTTCTACTGTTGGAGGTGGACCTTCCAAATCATCTTGAATTGGTGCATTAAGATCACGCTCATTCTCGATTATCATATTGTGCAGTATAATACATGTAGTCATTATATCTTGTAGCACTTCTTTTTGCCAAAAACGTGACGGTCCTGCAACAACTGCAAACGTTGTTGCAAACTCCGAATGCATGTTCAACATCTTTTGACATGATTCTTGATTCATCGCAAACTATTTTTCTTTGCCGAACGTGACTCACGAATAGTTTGCACAAGGGTTGACCATTTTGGATATATACCGTCTGCTAAAGAATAACCGTATATCCTTGTCCTTGAATAACATAATGGGCGGGAGGAGCAGTACCTGCCAGCCAGATCGAAGTTTGAGATCCCTACCCCTGATTCACCCTATCTGTCATCTCCTAACTTATCATTATTTTCACTAAATTTAAATGAGGATGTTGCAGGTGATTTCAAATCATCACAACGGCCTAAGTGGGGTGAAGGAAACAAGAATGAAGAGAAAAATTGACGAAGATTATATGAAGATTGTCCAATCAAGAAATAATCGATGGTTGAGGCGGTGAATAATGCAACCGAGGAAAAAAAGAAGTTTTGACTGTTCAAAAAAAAAAAAACTAAGAGTAAAAAGAATGAAAGAAGAAAATAAAGTTTTTTATGATGGATGTGGATTCTATTGTCGATACGACTCATCGTGAATTTATGCACAAGAACAACAACGAATAATGTATAAAAGAAGTAACAATATCCACAGTCACAACACAACAAATCCTCGTGTGACGACCCAAAAGGGTCATCACCTATTTTCTTTACCCATTGTTGTACTTCCGAGGCCTTGAAAACCTCATTTAGGTACCTCGATTTGCGTGCGCAGTCCGGGCGCGTAGCTGGAGAAGCTTAAATATGAATTCTGTGAGAAAAATGCTAAATTTTGAATATTAAAATGAATAAATTTGACTTTCGTTCAATATTTTGGGTAAAACGAACCCCGGACCCGTGATTTGACGGTCCCGGGAGGGTCCGTAGGAAAATATGGGACTTGGGCGTTGCCCGAATCGAATTTCAAGGGTCCCAAGCACGAGAAATGAATTTTTGTGTGAAATTATTTTCTGAAAATATTTAAGGAAATTGGAAATGAAAATTGATTAGAATGTGATGGTATCGGGCCCCATATTTTGGTTACGGCACTCGGTACAGGTCTTATATTGTGGTTTAAAGCACTTTCTGTAAAGTTTGGTTGAAAACGAACGTCGTTTGACGTGTTTCGGACTTAAAATGGAAAATTTGATGTTTTATGAAATTTGGAAGAAATCATGGATTTTGAGGCTTAACTCGTTGTATATGATGTTATTTTGGCGATTTGATCGCACGGATAAGTCCGTAGGATGTTTTTGAGGTTTGTGTGCAGGTTTGGTTCGGACGCCCGAGGGCTCGGGTGAATTTTGGATAGGCCGTGAGTGGATTTTTGACCTTGTGAAAAATCTGGTATGTTCAGCTCTGTGATCTTCGCATTTGCGAAGGAGCTCTCTGCAAATGCGACCTCCTTCGCAAATGCGAGCTCGCAAGTGCGAGCCCTTGCATCGCAATTGCGAGAACAAGGATTTGGCTTTGCTGATCGCAAATGCGATCTCTTTGTTCGCAAATGCGAAAATGGGCAGTCGCAAAATGCGACTTTTCCTTCGGAAATGCGAGACCTGGGAAAATAGGAAGGGTTCGCAAATGCAAACCCTGCTTCGCAATTCCACATTAGCAGGTCGGGGTTTGCAATTGCGAACCCCAGTTCGCAAATCCCATAACCTGCAACCTGCATATTTTACACTTACCCGAATTTTGAACCATTTTCAACATTCTTTCAAAATACAAACTCCTTGGGGCGATTTTGCATGAACAAGTTTCCTTCCAAATCATTTGTAATTCAATTTTTACTCATTTCTTTCAATCATAAACATCATTTAACATGTTTTCAACTTAAAATCAACCTAAAATTGGGGTTTTGGACCTCGATTTGAGGTCCGATTTCAAAAAAATCATATAATTTGGGTTTGTGGGGAATGGGTAATCGAGTTTTTGGTTCGAAACCTCGGTTTTGACCACGTGGGCCCGGGGGCGATTTTTGGAATTTTTGGGCAAACTTAGGAAAATTCATTTTTATGCATTCAAATTGATTCATTTAGTGTTTATTTATGTAATTAAGTAATTTGTGATTAGATACGAGCGAATTGGTGGCGGATCGAGGGGTAAAATATAATTGAGGCTTGAGTTGAATTCAAAGCAACGAGGTAAGTGTTCGGTCTAACCTTAGCTTTGAGGGATTAGGAGTTGAGTCTTATTTGCTATTTTGTTTGTGTCGATACGACGTATGGCATGGTGACGAGTATCTATACGTTGGTGTCGAGCATGACCGTGGGTCCTTAAATTGATAATTCTTGTAATCTTAATGGATTCTATGAAACTTTGATTTATGATTTCTCGATACTGAGCAAGGATTTAGTTTATTTCCGTGGACTTTAGTTATGACTGATATGGTATTATATTAGGTCAAGTAGGAGTTGCATAAGATTGGTTATAGCTGACCTCTCCTTGTCGGGATATTTGATTTGATTTATTTTGTTTGTGCACTGATGGGCTGCTGATCAGAATACTGCCCACGAGAACCACGATCGCCTGGAGCACCCTGCGAAGCCTGGAGGGCTGACTGAAAGGGCCTGGAAGACTGACCCCTATCATAAGAATCCCTGCCTCCAGGTGAGGCACCACTGAATCGACCTGAGTCGCGGGGTCTCTTGTCCGACCTATGACCACCCCCTTGTCGGCAGAACCATCTCGATCCTCCGGGCCACACTTGGCCGCCTACCTGAAACGTAATCGTTACTACCTCCCTCTCTGGCCATCTGAAGACGAATGGGCTGGATCAAACCGTCAATAAATCTCCTCACCCTCTCCCTCTCAGTGGGAAGTATGACGATGGCATGGCGAGCTAGATTGATAAACCTGGTCTCATACTGAGTGACCATCATAGACCCCTGCTGGAGGCGCTCGAACTGCCTCCGATAAGCATCCCTCTGAGTAACGGGGAGAAACTTCTCCAGGAACAACTCTGAAAACTGACCCCAAGTCAAAGGCGGCGACCCTGCTGGTCTGGCTAAACAGTAATCCCTCCACCAAGTCTTGGCGGATCCAGATAGACGAAAAGCCGCAAAATCAACTCCATTGGACTCCACAATGCCCATGTTTCGAAGAACCTCGTGGCAGCTATATAAGAAATCCTAGGGGTCCTCAGAAGAAGCTCCGCTGAATGTAGCAGTGAAAAGCTTGGTGAACCTGTCCAGCCTCCACAAAGCATCAGCAGACATAGCCGCTCCATCACCGGCCTGTGCAACTACTCCCGGCTGAACTGCCACAGCTGGCTGAGCTGGTGGAATCTGAGTCTGGGAAGCTCCCTGCTCCGGAGTACGTGCAGCAAGAGTCTGGGCTCCTCCTCCAGCCTGGGAAGTGGCTGGTGCTGCAGGAAGCAATCCTGCTCGGGTGACATTCTCTATGAGGCCAACCAATCGGACCAAGGCGTCCTGAAGAACTGGGGTAGCAATAAACCCCTCTGGGACCTGAGCTGGGCCCACCGGAACTGTCTGAGTTGGGGCCGGAACCTCCTCGTCAAGGCCAACCTGAGGGTCCGCCACTGGTGTTGCTGCTGGTGGCTGGGCCCTGCCCCTACCTCGGCCCCTAGCACGGCCATGTCCTCTGCCCCTAGCGGGAGCTGCCTGGGGCTCGGACTGCTGATCGGTGGATGAGGAAGCGCGTGTTCTCGCCATCTGCGAAAGAACAGAGTGGAAATTCAATCAGCATTTAAGAAACCAAATCGCACGACAAGAAAGAACAAATGAGAGATTTTTCCTAACTCAATAGACTCTGGGGAACAAGTAAAGACGTCTCCGTACCTACCCCTCAGACTCTACTAAGTTTGTCCGTGAGTTGTGAGACCTATGTAACCTAGTGCTCTGATACCAACTTGTCACGACCCGGATTTCCCACCATTAGAATCGTGATGGCGCCTACTCGTGGTAGCTAGGCAAGCCAACTTAATTACCTTTCCATCACTAGCAATTATCTTTAACAGTTTATAACATCAATATAGAACATAAAGTCTAATAAAAACAATAGCGGAAGTCTGTCTTAAAATGATGAATTTAAAACGCGGAATAGTTAAAAACAACCTCTACCCAAGATTTGGTGTCACATTACTCACGAACCACTAAGAATAAACTAAATACAAAGGTCTGAAAGTAATATATAATAGCTGTCTGTCTCGAAACAAGGAGGCAACAGTCTAAAAGAAAACAATGAGAAGAGACGCCGGGCCTGCGGACGCCTGCAAGGCTACCTCAGTCTCGTGAATATGAATCGCCTGCTTCCGAACTACTGCTGCTGCTGCTCCTCAAAACCTGGACCTGCGCAAAAATGCACAGAAGTGTAGCATCAGCACAACCGACCCCATGTGCTGGTAAGTGTCTAGCCTAACCCCGGCGAAGTAGTGACGAGGCTAGACCGGACACCATATAAACCTGTGCAGTCATAAATATACAGCGGAAATCGAATACAAGGCAATTAACAACATGGGAGGGGAAACATGCTAAGGGGAGATACAATATTAACAACAATCCAGAGTAACAACTAAAAACAGCGTAGGTTCACAAAGAATAAAGAATCAATACTCAAATACAAACACATAGCCTCAATAACTGTTGCGGCGTGCAACCCGCTCCATAATTACTATTATTGCGGCGTGCAACCCGCTCCACAAATACCACTGTTGCGGCGTGCAACCCGCTCCGTAAGTACTATTATTGCGGCGTGCAACCCGCTCCACAAATACCACTGTTGCGGCGTGCAACCCGACCCATATCATGTATCATTGTTGCGGCGCGCAACCCGATCCTCACCTTTTACTGTTGCGGCGTGCAACCCGATCCTCAATATCATTATTGCGGCGTGCAACCCGATCCTCAATATCATTGTACCGTCCGACTCCCCAAACAATAGTCACAATCAAGGGGCACAAAATAAGCAAATATTTAACAAACATCCCGGCAAGGGAAAGAATTCAACAAATGCAACCAAACGTCCCGGCAAGGGAATAATCAACAACGCTTTCTATTTCTTACTTTCTTTATCTTTTAATTCACTTTACTATTTTGTGCCAGCGCTCCAAAGAATCAAATCATTTCGTATACTTTCAATATTCGTATCACAATTCGAGCCAATGCTCCCAGGAATCAAGTGATCATATTACCGTTCACATGTTATTCACAACAACTAGGAATTTTCCAATAAACACGGAGTTCACAACCAAGTCACGATAATCACATTATAAAGACTCACGGTCATGCTAGACACCAATGTATAGATACTCGTCACCATGCCTATACATCGTACTCGATCACATAGCAATTAGCAACAAGACTTAACTCCTATTCCCTCAAGCTAGGGTTAAACCAAACACTTACCTCAAAGCCTTGAAATCCACTTAATCCTCAACTATCGCTTTACCTCGTGATTCCACCTCCAATACAGTGATATCTAGGCATAATTAATTTAACGATATCAATAAGGACTCAATGGCAACTTCTCATAGCCTTGATATGAATTTTCTAGCATTATTCCAAAAATACCAAAATTAGACACCGGGCCCAAATTGTCCAAACTCTAGGCTCGGACCAAAATCCGATCACCCATAACCCCACGAGTGCAAATATATAATTTGTTTTAAGATTAGACCCCAAATTGAGGTTGAATCACCCAAAATTCTCAAAACCCTAACTCTACCCAAAACCCATAATTTCTACCTTGATTTCATGTTTTAGGGCTAGGAATTTAGTAATTAGATGAAGAAATAATGAGGGAAAGATGTTAAGATTACTTACCCAAAGAGTTATGGCGGAAGGAGAGCTTGAATTTCGTCTATGGAGGGTTTAAGAGGAGAGCCCGTGTGAAAAGAATGAAGAAATCCCGTCACTGGTTCTATTTTTAGGCTTTAAAATAACTGGGCGAATTTGCCCTACGCGATCGCGCATACAGGGATGCGATCGCGAAGGGTTACACGGAATGGTCAACGCGATCGCGTGGGTTGTAATGCGATCGCGTAGGGGAATACTGTAGGGTCCAAAAACTTGGTCTATGCGATCGCAACCCTACTGGTGCGAACGCATTGAAGGAGGTGCTGAGGCAGTGCGATCGCGTGATCAAGTACGCGAACGCGAAAGAGCAAAGGGCCAAAGGAACGCGATCGCGGGCTGAAGATTGCGATCGCGTAAGAGGAAATCACTGAGCAAAAATTGCAGAAAAATCTGCTACCATTCTAAGTGCAAAAACACCCGAACCACCTCCAATTCACTCCCGAGCCCTCGGGGCTCCTAACCAATCACACACACTAACTCAATAACATCCTACGAACTTACTCGAGCGATCAAATTGCCAAAATAACATCAAAATCATTGAATCAAGCCTCAAACTCATCATTTCTATTTCAAACTTCATAAACTTCCAACTTTAGATAATTAGGTCCGAAACACGTCAAACGACGTCCGATTTCGACCAAACTTCACAGAAAGCGCTTAAACAATATATAAGACTTGTGCCGGGCGTTGGAACCAAAATACGAGCCCGATACCACAGTCTTTTTTCATTTTCCTTATTAATTTCAGAAAAACAA